TAGGGAGGCCAAATCAGGGGATTGTATTTGTTAGGAGAGATAATTGACTGATAAGGGTTTTTCTGAACTGATGAGATGAGATGTGATGAGAATATGCAGGTTATGAGAGGAGTATAACATGATCATCATATGTCTGATAATTTTCAGAGCTTCTGTAAGCATTAAGGCTATAGGCAGGGAGGGCAGCTAACCTAAGCCAGTGGGATCAAGTTGTTTGGACAGGAAAGCAACTGGGTGTGGACTTGGCCTCTGGGACAGAATGGTGACTGTGTGACTGCCATGCTATAGATCTTATAGACAGAAAGATTAAATACAGTATGGCAAAGCCAGGTCTAGAGCTAGTTTCAGATCTTCTTTTTGGATCTGGAAGGAAGAGTTAGGAAAGTCTTTATGATCTACAGTTAAGCTGGGTCCCTTTCTGCAAGCTTATATAAGAGCTTAGTAAAGAGGGCAAAGCCAGGAAACCAAAGACACAAGTATCCTACCACCTCAGGAAAGGAGAGAAGTAGTTGCTTTGTGGTGGGAAATTGGGATCTGAGAAATTAATCAGACATGACAGGGAAGGAGGGTCTGAGTGTGTTCTTGCAGAATAATGCCCAGATAAGTGACAGATGGAGAGGAGGTTTTAGTCTTGGATGAAGACATCTGGTAATGCTTTGTTTCTAAGTGTTGTACGAGGAAGAGAATATTCTCTTGGAGGATTCCTAAGAGGGGTTTCAGAGAAGGAGATCATCTACATGTTCCCATATGTATGAGTTTGGAAATGGATGGGTAGAAGGAGAGAAGATCATGGGCACATGGCTGGCAAAAATAGTGGGGACTGTCTCTGAAGCCCTGTGACAAGGCAGTCAATGTCAGCTGTTGGGACCTGAGAGTGTCAGGGTCCATCCAGATGAAGTTGAAGAGAGAAAAAAGGAATAATGAAGGAAGCACACTTCAAATCAGGGACTGAGTAATGGGTAATAGATGGGGGCATACAAGATAAAAGGGTGCCTGGGCTGGGCACCACAGGATAGGTAGAAAGGACTATTTGGTAGATAGTACCTTGCACCAACCTGTATGTGCCATCTGTTTTCCATGCAGGGAGAATGGGGGTATTATAGGAAGAGTTGATAAGAACCATTGCCTCTAAGGAGGCAATGGGAACTTTGGGTAAGAACCAAGAAAGAGAAAAGAGAGTGGCAAGAAAAGCAGGATAAATGCTTGGAATGGTCAAAGGGACAGGTAGAATATCTCATCCAAGGAGGGGACAGAGAAAGTAGGAACAATGAGAAAAGAGTGGGATAGAAAAACTGTTGATCTAATTGACATCAAATTGGAGGTGTTTTAAAAGGCCTGAAACTGCCATGAGTAACCACAATAGAAGTTGGGGCCAAGGAGACTGGTCATGCAAGAGTTACCCAAAGCTTGGCACCTGATCTGGTCCAGGGATTCACTGGAGCTTCTGGCAGCCACCCATCACCAACCTAAAGATGTCTGGGGGAAAGCTGGGCAGGGTGCCCTCAGAGCTGACTGGTGCCCTCAGAGCTGACTGCTGGGGCAGAGCCAGCACAGGGGAGTCTGGCTTCCTGTGAGGGCCTAACTGGCTGGAGCATGGCTGTTTTTTTTTTTTTTAAACCCAACTCACCTTATTTATTTATTTATTTATTTATTTATTTTGTGTTGGGGGGGCAGCTCAGCCCACCAGGGGGCAGGGCTGGCTGGCATGTGGTGCTGGGGGATTGAACCATGGTCCCTGTGCTTTGCTAAGCTTGTTCTAAGTAGGTGCCTTAGACCACTGAGCCATCTCACCAGCCCCTGGAGCATGGCTTTGAAGGGATCTTTGACTGTGGGCATTCTTTGGCCCAGTGACCAGATTTATGGCAGTTGAAGCTGGGTTGAATGGGACCTCCACTCCTAGATTTTTGAGGAATATGCACACTGATTTCCATAGTGGTTGTACCAGTCTACACTCCCATCAACAGTAGAGAAGCGTACCTTTTCCTGCAGTCCCTCCAGGGTTTGTAATTGGTTGAGCCATTCTTTCTGGGGTCAGGAGCTAGCCTTAGTCTTAGTAGGTAAGAAAGGATGGCTCGTGCCTAATGAGATAATGGCTTGTTTATATGCTAGGTCTCAGAAGGGTGGTACTAATAATCTCAAACTTTCATTTATCACTTAGGGAAGTATGTAAATCTAGCCTTTGTGACTTTAATCTTCTTCAGAAGCACCTCCGGTCATAGTTCTGATGTGTTCTCATATTCTGTACTGCCTTCCTCAAGGGCCCAGCCCTATCTTGACTGCTTATAATAGTTCTACCTAATTCAGCTGTCTATATCCATCTTACACAAAGTCCTTACTCAGCACGGAAACGGTGGGTTTTTTTTGTTGTTGTTTGTTTGTTTGTTTCTTGTTTTCATAAAGGTTCTTGTTTCCATACTAAGTGTTGCAAAAAAAGTATATTAAAAAATTTAAAATAGGGCCAGGGAGATGGCTCAGTGGAATAAGCGCTTCTTTGGCAAGCTCAAGGGCCTGAGTGCAATCCCTGGTTCCATCAAAAAAAAAAAAATTAAAATAATCAGTTTTCTGAACTGGGTGTGGCAGTGCACATTGGTAATCCCAGCACTGGGAGGGCTGAGGCAGGAGGATTATGAGTTTGAGACCAGCTTGGGCTACACAGTGAGCTCCAGGCCAGCCTGAACTGTATAGCAATACCCTGTTTCAAAAACACAAAAAGAAAAAAAATCCGTTTTTTTTTTGTATTGTCTCAATTTAAATGAAATTTCTCATGTGAGTACTATCTCTCTCCTGGATGTCTAATTGTTTAGGTTTTGTTATTGATCATTATCTTGATGCTTCAGGGGCTTCCAATGAAAATTTCAGGATACACTTTAGAAATCACTGGGATGGAAAGGCATACGGAGGAAGGAGTCATGTCCAGCGGCTGTTCTTAAGGGACTGGAATAGCAATTTTACCCAACTGGCTCCAGACGTGTGTACAGGTATAGTAGCTGGACCTGTCAGCAGGGGTCAGTGATTAGAGGCCACTTTGCATGTTGAGCTTTTATTACTACTACCTTTACATCCCTTTGGTTGTGCTTTTCTGCTGGTGGTCCAAGACCACGCCAAAGTGAGGTGCATTCATCAAAATTAACCTCTTGCTATCTATCAGGGTCAGTTAAGGCCCAGATCCAAACTGAGCATTCCCACAAATTGGTGTCCTGCTCCACTTCCTTATTAGAGTTATCGCCTGGAACTAGGTCTTGTGTTTAGCTGAAACTGCAGTTTTGGACCCAGATCTGTTTCTGAACTACTGTTACCTTGTCCATATATGGTCACTGATCCTCTGACCCTGGGTAGGTTGTTTCTTTTTGTCTTCCTGGCTGTGAACAGGACGCAGATTGCTGCTATGAGGACTGAAGTGTTACCTGGTGCAAGGTGACCCATGAGGCTCAGCTAATATTTGTACAATGAAAGATAACAGGCAGGCCACAGAACCTCAGATTTGGGGGGACCAAAGGCAGGGCTTTCTTTAAAGCCAGCATAAGTGTAAGATCTTTAGACTCTCTACCCAGGAAACCCATGAAAAAGATTGAGGCCCTACTTTGTATTCCATGACACAAATTTTATCCCTGAAAATTTGTCCAAATCTTACCTTCTTCTACCTCCTCCTTCTCCTCCTTACTAAATTTACAAATCCTTCCTATTTCCAGCTGTTGAGACATTATGTTTTGTTTTGGTTTTGGTTTTTTGTTTGTTTGTTTGTTTGTTTGTTTTTGTTTTTCCAGAACAGGGGACTGAACTCAGGCCCTTGTGCTTGCCAGGCAAGTGCTTATTCTACTGAGCCATCTCCCCGGCCCCGAGACATTATGTTTGAGAAGTGAGAGTACCTCTAGGGGCCAACCCCCCAGCAGGCTCCTTCAGCAGCCAGATCACAGCAGTTCAGTACTTACTATGCCTCTTTTAGCCTATTCTTTTTCTCCTCTCCTAAGCATATTTCTCTAATGGACTCCAGGAAGCTGCATCTACTGCAGACCCGCCATCTGATGTGCCTTCTGTTGTACCTACATTTGAAATGCCATAGCTGATGCTGTCGTGACGGATGCAAAGCAGGTACAGCAGAGCCCCAGCTCAACAACGTATTTGTGTCTTTTCACAATACATTCATTTCTGACCAGCTGGCCTTTTTGGCGAACAGCATCTTCACCTATACATACTCTTCTAAATCCAGAAATTTGAGCGGTCTTCCATTTTCACAAGACAGCGTTTTTAGAACCTAAAGATTAGAGGAAGTTGACCTTTCCAGTTTAACAGTCCAGATGTGCTATTCTTGAAAGTGGAATGTCGCTGTCATTCTCTGCGGAGAACCTCTGGGCCCGGGAGGGTTGCAGCCCCAGCTCCCTCTCCCCCAGGAAGGAGGCATACAGGACAGCGGGGTGAACCAGCGCAGCGCGCTCCCTGTCCGGGGCACCGCCACTGCCTTCGGCTCAGGCTCCGGGGCCGAGACCTGGAGGAGCCGCTGCGTTTGGAATTTCCAGGAATCCTTGTCTCAGATGGGCATGGGTGGCATTTCTTTTTATTATTCCAGTACCTTCCTCAGCTGATGTTCTCCCCAGGGGTGACGCTGGATCCCCAGGCTTGGCATCTCACCCTTGAATCCCCGGTTCTGAGCCTGCAGTTCCATTTGGTTCCACCGCTCGGCGCCAGTTCACCCGTCTCGGTGCTGCCAAGCTAGACAGCAGCGTCTGGTGGCCCAGGCAACCGAGTCACAGTCAGGATGGAGCCAAGGTACAGCTCGGCTGCAAGGCTCCTTTCCGGAAACCAAGACTTGTACCAGATGGAGCGCGCGCTCCTGGTCTCCCGCAACGCTCTTGCGGTTCAAAGTCCGCTTTGGAGAGGTCGGGATGCAGGACGGTCCCTGTGGGGAGGCAGCGCTGGGAAGGACCTGTGGGCCTGGAGGCGCGGGGCTCAGCGCTCCACAGGGTCCGGAGAAGAAAAACTCGGAGACTGCAAGGCCACCTCCTCGTCGCCGTCACCGCAAAACTGGAGCTGGAAGCGGAGTCCGGTGGGGCCGGACCCCCGGCTGCTGCGCAGCAGCTCCTCCAGGCCTCGGCCCCGGAGCCTGAGCCGAAGGCAGTGGCGGTGCCCCGGACAGGGAGCGCGCTGCGCTGGCTCACCACCGCGGTCCTGTATGCCTCCTTCCTGGGGATGGTGAGAGCTGGGGCTGCAACCCTCCCGGGCCCAGAGGATCTCCGCAGAGAGCGCGGCCCTCCCAGTCGGAGTCTCATGTTGGTCCCTGCACACTGTCTATCACTTTGGGTCAATAGCTATCTGTCTGGGCCTCGGTTTCCTCAGCTAACATGCGGGCCCAGCCGTGGTCAGAAGGGCTGCTGACAAGTGGGAAACTGATTTTCCTAGTCTGTTTTCCAATGCAGCTAAACTTCCTTCATGTTCTGGGTTCAATGGGGAGATACAACAGAGGTTTGCAGGTTTCTAGCTACTATTCTACTGCATGCCAAATTATCACACAGGAAAGTGATTTTTCTCTTCCTAATATCCTGACCAAATTCAGCCAAGCACTTAATTTTGCAGCTGGGAAATATAAGCCCCAGGGGGAATTCCAGATCGCACAGCTGGTTAATTAGTACAGCCAGGAAACCCCCAACTCTGCCCATAATTCTACATTAATCAAGACGTTGAATCCTTGTGTTTTTCTTGGAGCAAGATGCATGGCAAGAAGTGCCTTTAACCAAAGCTCTGGCCTGTCCCTCAATTCAATATTTGCAGGAATTTTTCTCTCATTACTGGACAATTGTGACCCAGGGGAATTGGAGGGGTGAGTTCTGTGAGGAGTCCCTAGAAAACTGTAATTGTTTCTTAGAGTTTTGGGGTGGGATGGGGGAGGGAAATAGACTGGAACGAGAAAAAAAAAATCACTTCAAAGCCACCACTGTGTGCCAGATCTTGTAGATTCTTTTAGGGATGAAGTACAATTGTTAAGTCCTGGTACTGTGCATCTGGGATCCCATGTCTGGCCCTGCTTAGGAAAAGGACACAAGCTCAGTGCCTCAGAAAACTGAGAACAGAGCCAGTTATTCAGTTATTCTTTTTTCTTTTTCTTTTTTTTTTGCGGAACCAGGGATTGAACTCAGGCCCTTGTGCTTGCCACTTATTCCACTAAGCCATTCCCCAGCCTCTGAGCCAGTTATTCTTCAGCTAGAGACAAGTTTGAAACTTTATTTTCTGTAAAGAGTTCAAGGAATTTCCTCTTGAAGTACTTTTCCAAAGGAAGTGAGTGTAGGAGGGTACCCTGCTGTAACACCTGAAAACAAGAGGTTGGACAAGTTAATTTTAGCACTTGGAAATAGTACAGATTCCGAATGCTCTATCCAGAAACATGGCCGGCGGTGTCTACACACAGAACAAGAAAGTGACACACAGAAGCAGCTTGACCAGCCACAGCTCGCTGATCCTTGCACATTTAGGAGCAGCATGCAGCCTGGGATTGCCTGAACCTTTGGCTGCTCAGCTACTTGTTTCACAAACAGGCAGGTTGCGATGCTGACAAATTAGTACCCCAAATACACAGGCAGATTCAGGCCAGATCTAACGTAACAGTCTATACTGTTGGTCAGCCTCCCCCCGCTGAGGCTTCAGAGAAGTCTTGGGCACTTGACCCTTTGTGTCACCACTATAATTAACTGAGAGGGTCTAACTCTGTAGTCCACAGTTGACAATAGGAAGTGATTTGAGTGACTCTTGGTGCTTCACATTTCTGTTGTTTTGGTGTACAGAGGATGGCTGCACAGAGAACAACTCAGGGCACACAACACACTGGGGAGACTTGAGGATGGCTCTCGGGAGATGCAACATCACGGATATCTTGGTATATCGGTAATATCCAGAAGCTAAAGAACCCCCTTAACTGGTGTCTCCATGAGCCCAACTGCTCAAAATCAAGCCAGTCAGAGTTCACACAATAAAGAGAGCTCAACCATATTTAGCCTCACTGCTCAAAGTCTTTGTTCAGACAATGATGTTGACTAAGGACCATAGGTGGCTGTAAAACAGCTTGATCCAAATAAGTATCCATGTGTGCAGCTAGACTCCTATGACTCACAAGTCATAGGAACCTGGACACCCACTAACCATGAAGGTTAGAGAGCCTTGGAACTCCTGGCCTGCCACCCACCACTCAGGATCTTTGCAAACCAACTGTTTCTTGTTTCTGGGAACACGTCTCGTGCTCCTCCCCCTGAGAACTTTCCTTAATGTGTTCAGTTGTGGTGTGGAGAGAAAGTGTACTGTTATCAGCCATGTCCTTGTACATTGCTTTGTCTTTTCAGTATGGGGTTTGAGCTCTGGCCTCGTGCATGCTCGCAAATGCTCCACCAACTGAGCTACACCCCCACTGCTCAGCCATATTTAAATTACTCTTTCTGTAGTGCTGAAATAAAAGGAAATTGTGGCACAGTGTTCAGTTTCATCCAATGCCACCCATAAGCCCCAAGCATGGACAAGGAAGACATCTAAAGCTAAATTTTGTTCCTCTAAGTGCTTCTTTGAACATGAAAATTTTCATTCATCCGTCAGAGAGCAGCTTCTATCCTTCTGAACCAGATCTAAGAGATCTGGTTGCATACAGATCCAAATTTCCCCCTACCTGGCCTGTTTGCTTCAGATTCTATGCAAGGGGTGCCCAAGGACTGCCAAGAGGGGAATTTTCCTTACTGGAAACTAATTCATCTTTATCTACTTCAAAGTAGATGTAATTGTGGATATTGAGTGGTTTGGCCTCTGAATATCCAAGGGGTGGGAAGTTTTAAGGAAAACTACTCAGAAGGCAGGGGTAAGTCAGTCCAAAGAGCAAGCTCTGAAGCAGTGCCGTCAGGAACGGAGTAATTTGTCTGCAGATTCAATCTAGATTCTTAGGGCCTGAACAGTGCGCCACCTAGTGGCAGTTTTGCAGAGGTCAGTTACATTTCTTGGGCCCTCTGTCTTCACTGCTTGACAAAGGTCCAGGGGGACCCTACTCTTTGTGTTCCTTCAATAGCAAGCTGTAAGGAGCATAACCTGATTTAGTAGAAAGGGGTCTTCCTGGATTTAATGCAGTAACATCATACAAGAATTTGCTTGTTCCCAGGTAAAGTAATCGGTGGGCTTTGTGAGTGCGAAGTCTGGAACCACGTTACACCTTTTGCAGACATCACTCAGCTTTTCTCTATTTGCTACTGGTCAGGTAACTAAAGGTCAGGGCACTATTTGCAGGGAGTTTGAGAGCAAGGCACAGTGATGACTGGATTATCAAGGAAAGCTTTCCACTTTTCCCTGGACTTTCAGGTGATTAATTGGAACATGGAATGGCATTGGCAGTAGTGGAACTGAACCCTGATTTAGGGCGATCAGCCTGCAAACCCCACAGGTGCTCTGGTTTCTTCCCACAGAATGCACCCCTGCCAAAGCTATCATTACAATCCCATGTATTTTCCTGTATGGCAAAGGAAGGGATTTGGACAACAGAAACAGAGAGGTCTTTGATACTGACACACAAGCCTTGATCTGTGTTCTTGGTAAAGCTCTGAATATATAAGATTCCCTTTGCTTCTGGTGAGAAGCATCCCTGGCCAGCTTATTCTGAGGTCCCTAACAGTTGAGCAGCTTCCAGAGCCAGTGGGATGTCCCAGTTGTGAGATGCAGATTCAAGATCAATGCCTTGAAGTTTTGCTGCAGAGAAAAACCTGGGATGGCCGCATCTAACAAAGTCGAGGCACACATTTTCTGGTGTTTTCACAAGATCCACTGTCTGGGATTTAGATTAAGAAAATTCTGGTTGATATCATTTGGTAAGACAAGAAAGGCTTCTTTTCTCCCTGAAAATATGCTTTGGGATAATGCACGAAAGCCTTGTGCTACTGAGTCAACTGGGTTGTGAGTTACATGAGATGTGAGAGGCTCTGGCGTGAGGGGCTTGGGCTTCCTGTAACTACTTTAAGAGGGGTCAGTCTGTGTTCTCCAGTGGGAGTGGATCCCTGCCGCAAATTGCTAGCACCTTTGACTAAGGCACCTGATCAGATTCCTCTGCTTAGCCTAATGTGCCATTGTGTTTGCGACACCTTATTTAACTCTCCTCTGACTTGTGCCGTGAAACTAGTAACTCTCTTACTAGAGGATTTTCTAGAAAAGCCCAACAGTAACAAGACTTTTTAGTCACTGTAACTTCTGTTGCAGTGTCAGCCTTTCTCTGTAGGAATGCTTCTGCATAACCAGAAAATATACACTGAAGATGGCAAGTGAATGAAATTCTTGTAGATTTGCTCAAAGGACCCAGTAGGTACTTTTTATGATCTTATCAGAATGATGGGTTTGACAACCAAACATTAGTTTGAAGGCTTTTTAAAAATAATTTTTAGGGGCAGGGGAGATAGCTAAGCAGAATAAGCGCTTGCCTGGCAAGCACATGGTCCTGAGTTCAATCAGCGCTACCGAAAAAAAAATTAAATTTTTATGTCATCAGTCAACCATGATGAGTTGTGAATACAGAGTTTTTAATAATGGAAGGTATAAAGATTCAGCAAAGACCAGAAGCCAGCCAAGCTTTCCATGAGCCCACACTTAGAATGCAAATGCAAACATGAATTTTGTTTCTCTAGCTCTCTGCACAGCACTGTTTATTAAATGGTTATGATAGGTGATTAGACCTGGATCAGTCTTGTAGAGGATGCTCGAGTTGCGCATCAACGATTTCCTCCCTAGCTGACTCAGCAGGAAAACCTGCAAGTCATTTCCTTAGTATACAATTAATTCTTGCTGCACTTTAATTTGGATTAAACATCAGCTTGAGGTTGATGAGCCAGGGAGTTTGTTGACTGAGAATTCTAGGCCAGGCCAATGGAGTGGTTCTGAGTTACCTGAAACCTGCTCTTGACAGAGAGAGAGTCCTTTTCACGAATGTCCCTGAACTCCAAGCTAATGGTGGTTCAGCAAATTACCAGGTGACTTACTGACCTGTCTGAGAGTGACAAGACTTAAAAGGGACCTGGTCAAAGATTTGATGAGCATTTATAACAATAGTGATGCAACTGACAAGAAAATTTGGCTATTTCTGTTGCAGATAAATATTTCTTAAATGAATTGGGTCTTGATAGGCTGCTAGTGCCAACTTCAACTTGAGCTCATGTGACCCTCCTGCCTCAGCCTCCTAAGTACCTGTT